ATCTCGTATATATATATATATATATATATATATATATATATATATATATATGTGTGTGTGTGTTTTCTACTAATTATAATTTAATTTTTTATCTTTTAATAATACGCCTATTGTAATCTACTTGCAATTCAGTTGTTTTACTGAAATGAGTTTTGATAATATTAAAACAGAATAAATTAAAATATTGAGCACCTTTTTTTGCCATTTTTAATTAAATCTCAATTAGTTACACTAGACTCCTGTAAGCGCACAACAACAAATGTTGAATGAATTTGGTCAACGCATATGGAGTGCGATATCGCTCAGTATTCGGTTCTTGAAAAATTTACTGCAGTTCAATTATAAATTTACTGCAGCGAGTTCTCTAGCCTCTGATTGGTCAAAATATGCATGGAGGGCGCTAAACATGCAGTGGTAACTTTTAAGTTTAAAAACTCACTGCAGTAAATTTTTTTCTGCTCTGTGATTGGTTGGAATTTGTTGCCAAGAATCTTGCTGCAGAAAGTTTAATATACCACCAAACGCTTTACGACAATGTATTTGATTCGTCGATGAATTAGATACTACACCACCATGCATGAAGAGTATTTTAATGTATAAATGTATCACACTTGCATTTTACACCCCAAGATTCAAGATGGCATTTATTCTCATATACGAGCATTAATTGTTTGCCCATCAGCAAGAATACGATGGTCAGACGAAGGCCTATATTATTGTTACTACTGGTCAAGTAGAAAGCATCTGCGAGGTTGGCTTAAACCAGATCATGTAGACAAGAGTGCTCAATGCAGTATAGCAGAGCAGATAGACAAAATAAACATGTAACACTGGGTTAAAGACTAAACATTTTATTGCAGTACAGGCGGTTTCATGAGGGGGTGCCTCATTCATCAGGTGCTGGGCTCTGAGTCTAGCACATGAAAAAGAATAGAGAAGTGTGTAAATGATGAAAATTTTTTGTATCTACCGTTGGACAATTTACAAGCATAGTGGTGGCCAAGATGGGAATAAGAATTTGTACCAGTGGTCATTAATCGTCTGTGTGTGACAGCAAAGGTTGACCTTGCCTCTATGGTCATAGCAAGTGTACATAATATTCACTGTGTCTGGTTTCCTAAAAAATTCAACTAACCTACTTTTGGTCCAGCATTGACATCGTGGTTGTTCTTATTTATGAAGTGTATATATTTATTCATTATATATGCTAAAGTAAAATAAAATAACTTTCTACGGAATCCAGTAAAGAATACCCAAAAGTATATGATGTGGGTCTATAAAATGAACAAATGCAATGGATTGTTTATCATTTACATACTTCTCTAATCTTTTCTATTTGTTGCCAATTCATTCTCTACCCACCCTCTATTTAATATGTTTATCTACAGTAACTGTTCTAATGTCTTGTGTTGTCTTTTTTATGCACTTGATATCCTACTTAAACCATAAATTAAAATAAATACTAACAACTATTAACGCTGTGTAAATTTTCATATAAAGAGGTTATATATTCATGAAATACTATAGGATTTAAATTCAAATTATCGAAAGCGTGAGGGAAACATAGGTCGCTTATTTGACACTTAGGTCCGTGCAGTGACATTTCATTTTATCTTGTATTATTTGATTGA